AGGTGACCATCTGCAAGCCAGGAAAAGAGCTCTCACCAGAACCCCACTGTGCTGGCACCCAGCATCCAGACCACTGAGAAAATTAATTTCTGTTGTTTAAGCCCCCTGTCTATGGTATTTTATTATGGCAGCCTGAGCTGGCTAAGTTACCAACAAATGGGCTTCTCTTCTCTCTTCTCCTTTTTGGTTCTGAAGCCACACTGTTGACCAAGGTGACAGTGACTAGGCAAGTGCTTTGCGCCAGAGCCATCTCACAGACCAGTTCTTAATGACTATGGAACCTTCTGGAAGCTGTTAAAGAACTGCTGGGACCCTGAGACCAGAGGATCCCCCACAAGGACCAAGGCCTTCCCCCACATTCCTATGTGCAATCTTATCACCTGCCAGTGCTGGTGCAAAGTCCCCAAAATAAGGAGACTAAAGGGTGAGCAAGGGGTGGAGGAGGCATCAGCCTCCAACCTCACCTGGAACATCGGGGCATTTTAACCCATCAGAATAGCAGACACAGAGCCTGAAATGTGTTCCCCTGGTCCCCTCGCAGTGCATTCACAAATGCCACCCCCAATTTCAGGGGCTCCGTGAGTTTGGAAAAGTGCCTCCAGGACACCTACTTCTCAGCTGCCTGAAATGCCAGGAAGAACACTTGATCAAGAGTCAAAAGACTTGGCATCTATAGATCAGCTCCTGTTTGTAAGCTGGGGCCTCAGGCCAAGTTACTTAACCTCTCTGTGCCTTAACTTTCCATTTTTAAAGCGTTTCAATCCCTCTTGTGTTAGGTGACAATGAGGATCAATGAGATAAGTAACGGGAGCTTTATAAAAGTTGGTGTTCTTTCTTCCTCTCCTACCTCGGCCTCTGCAGCTGCCCATTTGCTCTTAATTTTATCGGTATTTCACAAGGTTCACTGACTGGGGAGAAAAATCTTCCCCACTTTCTTTCTTTTTTTTAAAAAGATATCAAAGTATTTTAGAATATTGGTCTTAGGTCAGAAAAAAAACCCACTGTTGACTAGCCTGGCACATAGTACTTGCTCAATAAATATTCGAGGAAAGAAGAAAGGAACAAAGGAACTGTCCAGAAAGAAGGGGTCCCTCTCATCAGGCTCCTGTGCACGCTCGGAGATTCGGGGTCTTCTCTGTGTGTGTCTGTCTCTCTGTGGTGTTGTGAGCTCCACTAGGACAGGCACTGCCCAACACTGAGCCTGACTCCTGGCAACGCTCAGCAAACATGGATGAATGGAAAGAAAACTTCTAGTGCCTAGAGTTTCCTTCCTACACTCAGATTGCCACACTCGATAGCCAAATTCTCCAGGCTGGGAGGAAGGCCTCTATGGATGGAGTAGTGGGTAAGACAGAGTGTGACTCTGCTTTGAGAAAATGAATGGCCTCAAAGGCATGTGGGAACAGTTATTTGACTCAATAAAAGTCAGAAAAACACATTTTCCACTCATTGCTATTGATAATGGCAAATTTGTATGGTCACATTAGAAATATTTATCTTTTTTGCCTCACAACTATCTTTCTAGTCATTGTTTGCATGGTATATATTTTTCTATTTTTGTGCTTTCTGCCTTTCTTATCTTTATGCCTAAGGTGTGGCCCAACATGTAGTTGGGTTTCGCTTATTTATCTTCTCTGACAATTTTTGTGGTTTGATGGCAGAGTTTAGTTCATTTACATTTAATTTAATTACTTAAAAATTTGGGCTTAAATATACAATGTTTCTATTTTTTTTCTATTGGCCACACCTCGTTTGCTTTCTTTTGGAACAATTATTTCCCCCTCTATCATTGGCTTGTTAGTTATATTTTTTTTACCATTTTTTTAGTAGCCATACACTAAAGATTATGTTATAGATTGAATTATGTCCCCCTCACCAAATTCATGAGTTGAAGCCCTATCCCTGCAATGTTACTATATTTGAAGACAGGGCCTTCATAGAAGTAATTAAAGTTAAATGAGGTCATAAGGGTAGAGCCCTGATTTAATAGGACTAGTGTCCTTATAAGAAGACACACCAGAGAATTCTCTTTCCCTCTCTCTCTTCACTCTACCCTCTGTCTCTTTCTTCTCTCTCTCTCTCTGTGTCTCTCTGTCTCTCTCTCTCTCTCTCTCACACACACACACACACACACACACACACATCTGAGGATATAATGGGAAGACGGCCTTCTGAAGGCCGGGAAGAGAGCCCTCACTAGAACCCAACCACACTGAGACCCTGACCTCAGACTTCTAGCTTCCAGAACTGTGAGAAAATAAATTTCTGTTGTTTAAGCAACCCAGTCTATGGTATTTTGTTATGGCAGCCCAGGTAGACTAATCCAGATTACAGCATTCATCTTTAACTTATTAAAATCTCAAATAAATGAGTAATTTTACTAATTCTAGAGTAATGCAAGGACTTTAATATATCTTAACTCTATTCATTCCCTCCTAATTTTTGTTCTATTATTGTCATACATTTTAATTCTTACATATTTTAAAAAATCTTTTCTATAGGTATTTAAAACCCTACAAGACATTATTTTTGTCATTACTCAGATTTATCTATTTACTCTCTCTGCTATTTCTACATTCACTGCTTTCTGCATTTCTAAAGTTCGGTGATAATTTTCCTTCTGTCTGAATTTCCTTTAGTATTTTTTTTAGTGCATATTTTCTAGTGACAAATGCTCTCATTTTTTTGTATATTTTGAAAACTTCATTATTGGTGAGTATTTTTATTGATTATAAAACTCTAGATTAGCTTTTCAGTGCTGTATAGATGTTATTTCACTTCTGACTTCAATGGTTTTGGTTGAAGAGTTAGCTGTAAGTTCTATGTTAGCTCCAGTGAAGGTAATGTCATTTTACTTGGCTACTTTTATTTTATTTTAAACATCAATGATGAGAGAGAGTCATTGATCGGCTGCCTCCTGCATGCTCCCTACTGGGGATCGAGCCTGCAACCCGGGCATGTGCCCTGACCAGGAATCGAACCTCGATCTCCTGGATCCTAGGTCAATGCTCAACCACAGAGCCATGCCTGGCCGGGCTTACTTGGCTACTTTTAAGAGTATCTTTTATTCTTTGGTTTTCAGTAGTTTTACTATGGTGTGTTTAGATGTGATTTTCTTTGTATTTATATTTAGGATTCTACAGGGCTTCTTGAATTTGTGAATTGGTATCTTTCATCAGTTTTGAAAAATTCCTGGCTATTATCTATTCAAATATTGCTTCTGTTCCATTCTCTCTCTCTTTCTCTCCCTCTGTTTCTCCCCTGTTCTGGGACTTCAATTACAATAGTACTAAACCTTTCCCTATATCCAAAATATGACATATTCTTTCTGTACTTTCCATTCTTTTGTCTCTTTGTGCCTTAGTCCAGATATTTTCTTCTGATGTATTCTTCAATTCACTAATCCTCTCTTCATCTGTATTTAATCTATTTTGAGCTCATCTCATATGTTCTTAATTTTAATTACTACATTTTTTTCAGTTATAAAATTTCCATTGATTTTTTAAAATATATTTCTATTCTTTGTGAAATTTTGTCTTTCATCTCATTGAATGTATTAATCAGGAGTTATTCTGAAATCTAAATCTGATAACTCCAATAACTGGATTTCCTGTGGGTCAGTTTATATTATCTATTTCTTCTCTTGGTTTTGGGTCATTTGGTCTTATCTCTTGATTTGCCTAGGAAATTTAGATTAAATGCTACATGTTGTATATGAAAAATTGTGGAACCAATGTGATACTGTGGATCATGCTATGTTTCTGTAGAGACTGTCTTTTGCTTTTGTAAAGCAGTTAGTGTAGAGGCAGATCATCTTAATTTGGTGAGTCAAAGTTGTATCTTTGTGACAGTTGATTCTTTTTTTATTTTCTCTTACTGTTAGTATGACCTTTCACAGATCCTAACCAAAAACCTAGGATATTACCAGGGCTTCTCTGAGACTGCCAAAGTTCTGCTCAGCTTCTTAGCCTTTAAGTCACTGTTTTTAGAAGTAAATGCCTTGAGGAAAATAGATAGTGCTGTTATGGATGAAATTTTTGTGTGCTCCCGAATTCATATATTGAAGCCCTTACCCCCTATATAATGGTATAAGAAAGTAAAGCCTTTGGGAGGTAATTGGGTTTAGATGGGGTTATGAGGGTAGAGTCTCCATGGTAGTATTAGTGCTCTTATAAGAAGAGGGAGTGATACCACTCTCTGTCACGTAAGAACACAGAGAAAAGGCAGTCATATGCCAGCCAGGAAGAGGGCCCTCACCAAGAACCAACTCTTTCAACACCTTGATCTCAAACTTCCAGCTTCTGTAACTGTGAGAAGTAAATATCTGTTGTTTAAGGCCCCCAGTCTATGTATTTTGTTATAGCAGCCCAAGTTCATTAAGACAAATGCTGTCAGGTTCATCTTTCTGTGCGCCCTTTCTCTCTAGGAACTTGCCCTCTCCAAGTTCTCACTGCATGGGTAGATCTCTGATATTTTCAGACAGATTTTAAATATTTCCCAGCTATTCTAGTTGTTTGAGGCAGAAGCCTTGGTTTGATCCAGGCTGGTTTTCCAGAGCCAGAAGCAGAGGTTTCAACTCTTTCTTTAGCATAATTCCTCAGCTATAACGATGGTTAGCACAAAAGTGAAGGTTTGGGGTATTGGATGTGAAGTAATAAATTCCATCTGGGTGGGCAAAAATGAAGTACAAATTGGTTCAACTAACTGGGAAAAGTAGAAAATTATAGTTTTCTATTAAGGTAAATAATTCTAATTAAATTCGTATAAGAAGCTTTTCAGCAGTTACTGGAAACATACAATATATTACAGCTAACTTCCCAATACTTTTTCCCATAGTGATATATACCTTTGGTTTATAGCAGCAAGAATTAGGAGAGCTCCTGGCATTCCAAGCCCTCTGCCAGGCTCTGGATAACACTGCAAGATGTTTGTCAGGTCCCTAAGAAAATAATGTATTTGACCCTGCATCCTAGCACAGGCAAACTCACTCAGCAAACATATAGCAACCAAGTTTAAAGACTCTTATTTTACTTCTCCAAAAGTTTCATAATTTGTTCTTTTAAAGTTCAAACATCCATGAAAGAATAAACAGAAATCACAAACATAATTTTCCATAACAGAGCAGAGATACGATATGGCCAACCACTTGTCAAAGAACCACTGCTGTTTCAAGCTTTGCCCTAATAGATGGCTCATGTTTCATGGGTGAAAAGGCCAGAAAAGCACAAATTTCAACCTGTTATTGTAGAGTATCAGGATGAACTGGTAACCCAAAGGCCAGGCTGTAGGCTGTATCTTGAACTGCATGTCCTATAGAAAGAGAGAGAAGACAATGCCTGTAGTTGAGGTATCAACTGCAGGCACTCACATTTTGATGAGCAAATAGGCTTTATTACCAAGGCTGGGTATAACTACCAGCAAATGCATAGCTAAGGCTACAAAGTGAAATGCCTTGGGAGCTACATGGATAGAAATAAATCTGCAAGCCCAAGAGGCCATTCCCTAAGAAGTTTACAGACTGGCTAGTGTGATCATGCTTTGGCCTCCAAACACAATTGGGAGATTCAAGACCAACAGTTCAAGTTGGATTGCTTCAGGTAACAAAATAAGAGATGATGACAAGAAGTCCATGGTGGCCTCTAAAGTTTCTGGACGGATGCACACAGATGAAAAAAAATGTTCCAGCGCAGGAGGCAACCGATCAATGTTTCTCTCTATTTCTCTTTCTCTTTCTCTCTTTCTCTTTCTCTTTCTCTTTCTCTTTCTCTTTCTCTTTCTCTTTCTCTTTCTCTTTCTCTTTCTCTTTCTCTTTCTCTTTCTCTTTCTCTTTCTCTTTCTCTTTCTCTTTCTCTTTCTCTTTCTCTTTCTCTTTCTCTTTCTCTTTCTCTTTCTCTTTCTCTTTCTCTTTCTCTTTCTCTTTCTCTTTCTCTTTCTCTTTCTCTTTCTCTTTCTCTTTCTCTTTCTCTTTCTCTTTCTCTTTCTCTTTCTCTTTCTCTTTCTCTTTCTCTTTCTCTTTCTCTTTCTCTTTCTCTTTCTCTTTCTCTTTCTCTTTCTCTTTCTCTTTCTCTTTCTCTTTCTCTTTCTCTTTCTCTTTCTCTTTCTCTTTCTCTTTCTCTTTCTCTTTCTCTTTCTCTTTCTCTTTCTCTTTCTCTTTCTCTTTCTCTTTCTCTTTCTCTTTCTCTTTCTCTTTCTCTTTCTCTTTCTCTTTCTCTTTCTCTTTCTCTTTCTCTTTCTCTTTCTCTTTCTCTTTCTCTTTCTCTTTCTCTTTCTCTTTCTCTTTCTCTTTCTCTTTCTCTTTCTCTTTCTCTTTCTCTTTCTCTTTCTCTTTCTCTTTCTCTTTCTCTTTCTCTTTCTCTTTCTCTTTCTCTTTCTCTTTCTCTTTCTCTTTCTCTTTCTCTTTCTCTTTCTCTTTCTCTTTCTCTTTCTCTTTCTCTTTCTCTTTCTCTTTCTCTTTCTCTTTCTCTTTCTCTTTCTCTTTCTCTTTCTCTTTCTCTTTCTCTTTCTCTTTCTCTTTCTCTTTCTCTCTCTCTTTCTCTCTCTCTCTCTCTCTCTCTCTCTCCCTCTCTCCCTCTTCCTCTCACCTTGATGTTTCTCTCTCTCTCCCTTCCTCTCTCTAAAATCAATATTTTTTTTTAATTAAAAATGGTTCCAGGCAGGTTAAAGTCATAGAATCTATTAGGACTAAATGGGACCTCCTTATAGACCTGGCCTAAACATCTCATCTTACAGAAGATGAACTGACACCACCCAGGGAACTCCTTTTCATCTGTCAGGACTCATTTCAAACACCAATTCTTCTGCAAAGCCTTCCATCCTTCCCTTTGACTGCTTTCTTCTTTGACATTTTCCAATCTAGAGTGTGAGCTCCATAATTTCAGAAGCACAAGCAGACAGAACATCCTCAATAATGGTTCTTGAATGGACAAGTGAGAACTAACATGTGCAAAGTCTCAGAGCAAAACATGGGCCAGTTGTCCTGAGCTCTAGCCCAGGTAATTCAGTCAGGCTTCAATTCCAGTTCCCAAGTTTGAGAAAGCCCTGCAAAAATTTAGATATAACTCAAAACATAATAAAAGAGAAAATAATATAATAGACCACAGTACCCATTACTAATGTCCAATCTTATTTCCATCTATACATTTACCCACTTTCCTTATGGCTATATTAAAACTTCAGAAATAAATTCCAGATATCATTTCATCTGTAAATATTTTAGCATATATCTCAAAATACTTTAAAATATATTAAATACTTGAAAAATACTTAAATATATAACCATAATATTTTAATCCTAAATAATATCTTATAAAGTATAAAATATCCACCAGGGTTCGTATTTACAAGTAACCTATGAAGGTCATCTTTTTTTTTTTTTTTTTTACCATTTTTTGACTTAGGATCTAAATTCAATTATTTTCCTTGCAATTAATTATTGAAGAACTGGGTCTTTTGTCCTGTAGTTTCATGAGATCTGGATAATTTTTAGCATGTCTCCATGGTGTTAACACGTTCCCCTGCATTTGGTATTTCCTGAAAGGTGGTGATTGATCTAGATGAGGCTCAATCAGATTCAGGTTCGATTTATGTGTGGGGACAGGGGCCTGAGGAGTGTCACCACTACTTCATAACTGGTGCTGAGTTTTTCCACCAGAAGGCACATCATATCCGGTTCTGTTTTCATGGTGTTAGCAGCCATTGCTGATCATGCCTAGATCCATTAATTCATTAGGGACGAAAAATGATGATATTTTATCCACCACTCTTCACTTATTAGCTAGGAATACTTTTATAAGAGATATTTCCCCTCCTCTACCATATAAAACCATTTAACCAAAGCAGTGCTTTCTCTCAAGTTGAAAGCTCTGCAGGAGAACGAACAACTTTAGGCAAACCTTCATTTATTCTTTATTTTCTAGACAAGAATTAACTGGAAGATGGCGGGCCTGAAGGCTGCGGAGAAGAGATCTTGCTTGGCTCTTTCCCCACCTGTCCACTGAGGACCTGCCTGCCCTGAGATTTCCTTAAGCAGCACTGTTCTGGGCTTCGCTCTAAAGATCTACCTTTTCTCTTTGAAAACATTTTCTCCTGTAATTAAGGGGGTTTCTAATTTGGGGAAGAGATAAAAACTCATCAAAATGATATATATATTTTAAAGTCATAATTCTGAAGCTGCAAAGATCTGGCTCCAGGGAAATCCGGAATTGAGGAAGGATGCTAATCAGGGCAAAATTTAACACAATAGTTTATAATAATCTTTTATTCCCAGCACCGAGAATATCCCAAGGAAATGCCAAGTAAAAAAGTAAAATCAGCGATTGATTTTACATTTTGAGAAACTGACCAAGTTTCTTGATCAAATGCTGATTGCAAGTCTGACTCCAGGTTGAGCAGATGAAAGAATCCTCCAGGGAGGGCATCCCCCCTTTGGCTCTTAGCATGCTGAGATTTTGAAAAACCAGATCCTGGCAATCAGAGATCTCACTTGTTCCACAGCTGAGGCTCCCCATCCCCCCCCAATTCCTGGCTCCTGTAACATGCCCTTGGGGGCCTGCTGGCGCCAGGCTGGGAGGGAGAGTGGTCCCTGTCTTACTGTCTGCAGAGGTTAAACGGAATCTCTGCCTCTGCCGAGGAAAGAAAGGCACCTTCCTCGCTCATTTCTTGAGGCCGGGGACCGTCGCGGCAACCCCGGACCACCAGGACTCAGGCCCCGGGAAAATCCTGGCTTTCGTCGGGCAGACCCTCCTAGGCTTTCATTTGTGGTTTGCTACTCAGGGTGCGGCCTTGGGACAGTCTGCCTGCACCCCCGTACCCCCAGCCGTCAAGTAATAAAGTTGGACTGGAGCCCTGATTTGCAGAATCAACCAGGCAGCTCTTCTGAAAACCCCTCCATCAGGGTGGCCTTGGGGACCCGCCCGACCGGAATGGGGGGGCGCACGATGGCCGCGGGAGCTCGCAGCG